TGGATTAGTACTGTACTATAGTATGGCAAAAATTCTGCTTTTTGACCACAAATTAGGGTTTGGCAATAAAATAACATTATTTTGATAGGCAAAAAATCATTTTTGGCCTCTAAAAATCGAACTACAGGATCAACTACTACTGTAACTATGATCTTTATAAGGGACCTGTTTTTGTTGTCAACAAATGTTCACAAATCCAGTAACTGGCTATTTCAAGGAACTTTTAGAGCAAAATAAGAACAGTTGTGGATGTGCAACTCTCTGCCAAGTTAAGGATTGGGGAAGTTGTGACAGTCCTTGCATTGGATACAGTTAGCCAGCCCCATGCAATTCATTTCCTACTGTCAAAAGCCGGTTGATATCACATCATATATATCAGTACCTGTATTTATTTTTTGATAGGTTCTAGTGTCGACCACCATTACATGTTGAGAGTATGTACTCTGTCAACTGTGGTCTTGTACCTCCACATTCATGCTTCTATATGAGGACCTATTCAGAATGACAGTCGGGGACATCAAACGTGTTGCCTCGCAAAGGCATGTTTACCTAAGCTTATGACGTCATTTTGTAGGACCTTAGTAACAATCAGTGGTGGTGCCAGCAGGGGAATTTGCCCTCTGTTGGACAGGTCTGGGGATCTGGACCCCTGTCGTCCGACGCCACGACTAGGTCATCGGATCAAAAATAGGAAAAGTAATAATTTGCCTATCCAAATAAAGTTATTTTGATTGCTAATCCCTAATATTGTGGTTTAAAAAGCACAACTTGGACCATACTAAGCCAAAAAAACTCTCCCTGTGAACCCTGGTAGGGATTTTTTACTCTGAGCCGTCGACCAAGGCTATACTGGGCCCCTTGGTTGGACATGTCAAACCCCTTGTCGGCATGTTTCTGGCACCACCGCTAGCAACAATATCCAGGGCACGGGGGTTAGTGGAATGGTTCATTTGTAATTGGTATGGGAAGGGTATGAAAATAAGGTAAAGAAAAGGCATGGGTACATAGTAGGGAAGGTGCAGGTAATCTTGCTTGAACACTAAGCAAGATTACGTTTTCAACAGGAATTATAAACGATTCTAAACAAAAATAAAACTACACTAGCTTGGCAATTTTTCAATGATACTGATTTATAAACTATATAAAATCAAGTTAATTGTAACAATGGTAATGGTAATGGTTTGGGACTTGTAAAGCGCATACTACATGGTCTCTATGCGCTTAAGTTACACGAAAGAAAACAAACCAAAATCTAAATCCTAAAGTCTAACCAAGTGACCTAAGAATAAAAAAAAAAAAGCATGAGAAAACAGACTATCGCAGGGGAACCAACATCACCGCACCGTTTTCCTGCAATTTGAGACCACGGGCAAGCAGTGGTTTGCAGGATCATAACTCACAGGTGCTCAAGTGATGTTGGCGTCTAGACTAGCCTATCCTAGAAAAACTAAACGATGGAAGTAAAACAATTACAAAGGTAAAACAAAAATGGAAAATTTAAAAAGTTTGAAAAAGGTAGGTCTTGAGTCTTTCCGTAAAAATGGATAGAGAAGGAGACTGTCGGATCTCAATAGGGAGTGCATTCCATAGCTTGGGAGAAGCAGCTTGAAAGGACCTCTCTCCATATTTAGAACGAATTAAAGGGGTAGAATAATATTTAATTTATAATTAAAGGAAATTATTTGGCTAATACTAAATTAGCAGTGGATTGTAGAAATGGTTATGTAAGAGCACAGCAGTTGGTGAAGCTTGATTTCCATAGACTGCTCACATTTGCAAAGTTGAACCTGGTTCAACTTTGCCGAATGCCTTGCAGACGAATTCTATGCTCATTGTCTACAATATAACCAGTGACATAGATGCATTGGAGTTTGTGAGCCTTACCGGTATGCTATTTATGTAACACCGGTATTAACTTATACAGTACATATCAATGCAACCATCTGGTATATTCCTAGAATAAGGCCACATGAAAGTGCAATTTTATTATGTTGCAATCCTAGTAATGATATATGTCATCTGCAGAGGTATTGGCAAACAAGTAGATAAATTACAACATTTACAGACGCAGTGTTCATCAATTTTAATGATTCATGTTGCATGCCAGCTTTTCATAGGTTGTTCCCTATTCAAATCGCTGTTTACCAGAGTTCAAACGCCATATGTCTTCATAAGAAATTACAGGCTGAGCGGGAGACTTAACTGGTCAGAGTGGTATATCAATGCTTAGCATGATTTGCAGCCTGTTGTATGATTGCAATGTCAATGACTCTTACCTAAAAGCTCTAATTTTGCAAAATCCTAACCATTCTATATCTCTACACTAATTATACCCTAGTCCCTAACTAAACCTCTTGCATCCCATTCCCCTCTTCTGACTTGTACTACCATACTATCAAAAATCATTATTTTTTTTATTTAATAATAATGGCGGCAATGTAGCAGCTGTCACTGACATTAATAAGTACTGAGCTATAGGATTTGATATCCAAACAAATCAAATTTGCCCGACCCATTGCTTGCCAAAATGGCACTCATTGTCACAACCCAAGAGGAAAGATTTGCCATGTTCCAAGAACTTCTAGGAATTTAGCTTAAAAAAGCACTGGCAACATTGAGATGGCTATAAAATTGAGGAAAACCGATCACGCACACATAAGCAAAGTAGGTTGACAAGTTCAGTCCAAGTTGTAATTTCAAATTTTTCTTTTCTATTATTTTGACTTCATGCTCTCCTGAATTCATCCCCTACCAGGTACATGTTTCTTAGGATTTTCTATTTCTTTTTATATACTGCAATATTATTCATGAATTCTTGAATTTAATTTGTAAAATGTACACCACCACGCTCATGTTTTGTAAGAAATGCAGTTACTGATATATCTGTATTATTAAGTGTGGGCCTTCCATCAGTTATTATTTTTGTGTAAATTTGAGTGAAGTTTGTAACCAGTGATAGTGCCAGAGGAGGGTCAGGAGGAATTTTACAGTAAGGCACAGACTCCTGTTGTCAGATGCCAATAACGTTGGTTGTCAGACAATATAAATTTGCCAATCCTAACAAAGTATAGTATTGAAATTACGGTTCCTGATATTTTTTTTTCAATATTTTTTATTCAATCTCAAATGGCAGCATTAACGCTGAATTACATGAGAATACAGTACATTAAAACTCGGAAATACAAAACCGAAAAACACATAAAATAGCACAAAAAGATTACAAAATTGAGAACATTAAAATTAAGTTGAGACCTATAAAACTAGAAATAAGATGATTGATAAGATATTGATCATCCTAAACATACTAAAATTAATTTTTTCTACACTGGGACCCGAATAGATTCTCTAGGCAGCCCTTGGCACAGACCCTATGTCAAATTTTCCCCACCAGCAAATTCCAAGAGTCGCCATTTAAAGCTACGATACATTTACACTAGACACGATAAAAATGCGTTCAGTTTTGAAGAATATAAACGAAGCGATGATTTGTATTGTCGTTATGTGTCTACTGTAAATGTAGCTTAACTTGTGAACCTGCCCTTTGGCCTGTCTTGTACTGGTTGCCATATTTGAAAGCCCTGCATTTCTAATAGTTTTGAATAGGCCTATCCTACGTGTTACTGATAATTTGTTGGATATTCTCCATATTTTGTAATGTGAATAAACTCTGTTGCCTGTCTACAAGGCCAGTCTGTTGAAATCTTCAGTCATGGTTCAATAGGTCATAGTGACTTCCATGTTAAGTTATTTCAACCTACTTACTTCAGATAGTTCAACAAAATGCACTTTTTTTCTTTTTTTCTTTCCAGTTTTTGTATATATTTTTATCTCTTTTTTGTTTTATTTTTCCTAGCTATGTTGTATTTTTTCTCCTATTATTCTCAATCTATCCAGTGGCATACGGCATGAGGCCCTGGCTAAGGTTTCATTGGACCATACAAATCATGGGCCCTGTCCGCTTCAGGGGTTTTGATGTTTATGGCATATTTTGATGTTTTTACACAACACATTCTGCATATTAAGGGACCCTACTTAGCCTATTTGGGGCCCAGTCTCCCTCCCCCCAACCCCATCCTTAATTGAAAATGTTTAAAGCAAAAAAATCATACTAAAGTAGATAAAAATCACATATCACCTCTCATTTCTCACATCAATCCCCCACTTTATATCCACTGAACTTTTCTTATTTTCAAACAATTGATTTCAATTAATTCACTTTGTACATGAGTGAATCAACTCAATTGTGAATGAGTATGCCAATAATTTATCAATGAAAAATTGACTGTACATAATTTGTTTCAATGATTGGGATTGCATTTATGGTTTTTTTTCTACTACACCCCATTAGATAATATTATTACAGAGCTAGAACTCTCTGAAATAAGAGTATTAACTAAAGCACTGGCATTGTACTGTATGGGTATCAAAGGAGGTCTGTCAGGCAGTACTCTCTGGGGGGGGGGGGGGGGGCCAAAGGTAGTGACTAATACCCTGCCATTGCACTGTCTGGGGGCTTAGTCAAAAAGTAGAATATTATAGACTGAAGTCAAATACACAAGCACACACACATCAATATAACTAATATTAACTGTCAAAAATGTATAGGGAAAAAATCCCTATTACTGTATTTAATAAACAAGGTGGTATTTGGTTTGTTACAATGCTAATAATCACAACACATGATGATATCATATGGAATTTCAGATGCAAATTAAAGTGGTGATGTTGTCTTGTCAGTCTATGAGTGAAACATTTATCTGGATACCCAGACTAAACCCTGGTTCGGACTGGATATTTTTTTGTGAAAATATGTACCTCCTCCTTGTTGGTCTGACCCCAAAAAATTGTGTGTGAATTGCTTAAATAAAATTTAACCAAGTGAATCATGACCAAGGAAAATAACCCAGCTGTTTACCCATGACGAAAAACAAAGAAGCAGTATTTTATCTAGAATTTTGTGCATCCAAACGTTAAATTTGGACTCATCTACAATTGATTGTATAATATGATCACATATTAGATCGCTTATCACATAGCTAACATAGCCATTGCATATTTCCTGAATGAGTTGTGATGTACCCGTCAAAGCCTTGGTAATATCCAGGGTGTAAACTAATACAAGTGCGAACAGCGGTACGATAAAACCAAGTTGCCTTTGATAAATATTTATCCAATACAAACACATCTTTCTAGACACTTCTTGGGCCGTCTTTTCAAACATTTGTTATATTCAGTTCATCCAGGTATAATAAATATACCTGGTTATGATGTATATCCATCATCTAAATATATCCATCAAAACGGTGTATTTTTTGGCACACACCATCTTGTTCATGACTAGCCTTGTACATTATTATCCTTTGTGCACACCTAACAAGTTCATTCAAATTATGTCCTCAGACCTACAGTACATGTGTCTGCATTCATAATTGTGTCCCTCAATGTACACTACACGTGCCTGCATCATTCGTTGTCAATTCTTACTCGCCTCTTCTTCTGGTGATGTTCACCATCTGATTGGCTCTGTGAAAGAATAACATCCAAATTTAACAAGAGCGATCGCTCACCAGATCCGCACGTTCCTCCATGCTTAAATACAGTACAGGCGCAAGTTATTATATTGGGTTTTTTGGAAGACAACCATTTTTTAATAATTAGAATGTTTATTTGTACAAAAAAAAAAACCATTATTTAGAATTATCATTTATACAAAATTAAAATAAATAAATTTGAAAAAAAAAATTTAAAAAAATAAATAAATACGCAATTCAAACTTGCTAAATACGCGATTCAAACTCACGACCTTAAGATCTTAACCGACCGCTCCATTTATGCGATGTGCACTATTACGGTAGTGGTAAATGGCAGTAATGAACAGTCCTTGCTGAAACCCCTGTTTTGTTTTGTAAGGAGAACCCTGTGGTCCAACTTAAAAAAAGGGCGATGAACGTTTGTTGGAAACCCCTTCTAGTTTATGTGTACAAAAGTTTGTGCACGTCCTTTTAAAGCAGGCGACATTGGACGCCTTTAAAGTTTAAAACCTCTATATTGTTTTGTAGATGTAGGGGAAATCCTGGGGTCCAACTTAAAAAAAGGGCGATGAACGTTTGTAGGAAATCACCTCTAGTTTATGTGTAAAAAATTTCATGCACATCCGTAAAAAAAAACTGGCAATGCTGGACGCTTTTAAAGTTTGAAACCCCTATATTTTTTTGTAGGTATAGGGGGAACCCTAGGGTCCAACTTTAAAAAAGGACGATAAACTTTTTGTTGGAAATCACTTCTAATTTATGTGTACGGTACAAAATTTCATGCACGTCCGATCAAAACTAGTGACGCTGGACGCTTATAAGTGTGAAACTCTTGATTTGTTTTGTAGGTGTTTGAGGAACCCTGGGGTCCAACTTAAAAAAAAAGGGCGATGAACGTTTGTTGGAAATCACCTCTAGTTTATGTGTACAAAATTTCATGCACGTCTGTTTAAAAGTGGCAACGCTGGACGCTTTTAAAGTTTGAAACCCTTGATTTGTTTTGTAGGTGTAGGGGGAACCCTGGGGACAAACTTAAAAAAAGGGCGTTGAACGTTTGTTGGAAATCACCTCTAGTTTATGTGTACAAAATTTCATGCACGTCTGTTTAAAACTGGCGACGCTGGACACTTTTAAAGTTTTGGTAACAAGAACAAGAACAACAGCAGCAGTGATGCTGTAGGTCAGTGCTTCGCGCGGACCAACAAACAATATATAAAATTGAGGTAATTGGATACATTAAATGCCATGTAACATTTGTAACTTTATCTGCTCCTTGAGGATATTCCCAGTTGTGCACCTTATATAGCACCAGAATAATTGCATTGCAAATCGTTCCCTTCCTGCTTGGCACCAATATATTTTCCTGAAAAACACAAAGTTTCTTGCCCAAAGCCACTACTTAGGCAAACCAATACAAATTAAAACATGTCTATGACTTTGTTGATAAGTCTCGATCCCTAAGGATAAAATGCCAATTACAAGATGCAAATACATTAAGATTTAGAACTTGTATGATGAGGCTAAATAGGATAGGATTGATTTGTAAGCAGCCTGTTTGTAGATTAAGTTAGGCTTAGAGAGACACTCGTATGACTGTCTCTTATACACATCTAGATGTGTATAAGAGACAGCAGTGCACATACATAAAGCATAATTAATGCTGATACAAAGTACTTAATTTTAATATTATCATCATTACTATCAGAGTGGTGGGTAAGGCCCTCTGTTAAAATCTTGTTAAAACACATTTTCACATGTAATCCTATTCTAGAAGAAAACACAAAAAATGTGAATACCTTGGTGTAATAGAAGCAGGACTGTTTGGCATGGATTCACAGAAAGCTACACCACGAATGGACTGGTCATCTCGGTCACTTTCAGACCGCCTGGTTTCTACTTCTTCCATCTCACTTGTTTCACTCTTGTCTTCGTTCTTCTCATCATCAATGGATGATGGGTCTGATGACTTGTCTTTTTTTTCACCACCATCCTCCTGCGTATCCTAACATGTAGAAAAGCATGTGATGAAGTGCGAACTATTACTGCTCATAATACAAGCAAGTTCCTAAATAAAGTACAACAAATCAAAAATAAAAACATACAAAATATTTTACATGATATTGGATCCATTAGTGGCCAAATATTTTGTCCTTGAACTAGTGATCCAGGGGCAGATTGCTGTAAAACGGTCTTAATTGGTAGTCCTCGATTAAAGCTGGCTTTATCACTTAGACGGTCTTACTAAAGTCACTATGCAAAGACCATTGCTATATAAACGTTGAGACCGCTTTGAGAATTGAAATGCAAACAAGCACTCCCTAGTAACTTAAAATTGAGGGCGCTGTTGTGGTTGTCAAAACATACGTATTTATCAAAATGAACGTAAATAAACGTAGCCCGGTTTTTACAGACGCTGAGAATCTTGCGGAATATTTGTCGTGCGATTCTTTGTCTTTGACGATCTAGGTCTAGTACCTGTAGCACCATTAAAATTTAAGACGGCTAACTGGTTAGGCCGCGTTATAGCAATGGTCCATAAACATAGACCAGTAATGACTTTACGATTAAAGCTGGCTAAGCATTTAGACCGTCTAAAGAACACTTACAGCAATCCGCCCCAGGAGTGGAGAAAAATAGATTTTTTTTTATGTAGGGCTTCTTTATTAAAAGTAGAAAGAAAGTACATTCCTTTCAGTTAAACTTACTGATGATTTTCGTTTTCCTCGTCCACTCTTCCTTTTTTCAGGTTTCTTCAAAATCACCTTTTTAGTTTGTTTCATCTCATCCGGTTTTGAAGTTTCTGGAGCTGCTGCTTGTTTGGTGACACCATCCTTAGACATGACTTTACTGCTGTCTGTGTGTTCTCCTTCAGTCTGTAATTTCAAACATTAGTAGACTCAATATTTTACAATATTATGGAACACACACATTGGGGCTTACCATAGAATCATTTATGTACACTCATGTTGTTTCACCAATTCCTTATTTTGGGCTTACCCTGGAATCATTTATGTATACAGATTTTTTTAATGCAATATTTCATCATTCAAGTACATAAATGTTTTCGGTCTTTTGGTTAGACTAGGTTAGTTGTGTGTGACTTGAAGCCCTAATACCATACCAGGCATGCTAGTCATTGGTAGCCAAATATTCTACCAAAGAATGGCTAATGATAATAATAGAATTAGCACCGTGTAACCATAGAGAAAATGTAACCTACTGCAGGATGGAGTTCTTTACCAGCTGGTGAAGCCTTTGTTGACTGTGTCTTGGTGCTTGTCTGTTGGAAAATAAACCACTATTAAAACATTTCTACCAAACACCTCTAATACTTTTATTGCAATATGATGATCTGTTTTTATTGTAGTTAGATGTCTGAGAGTCTGTCAAAATATTTTCTAGAATTTTATGCAGACCCTATTGCAAACAATTTGCCATTAGCATCAGGCAGATATGGGCAATTTGTAACTTTTGCTTTCTTTTTTAGTTTGTACTTTGCATTGTTTTAAATAAAGAATTAAAAAAAACAAAAAGTGAAATAGCTGCATTCAAAAATTAAAAATCCCAAAAACCAAATGGAAAATTATATCAGAGATTTTGAACAAAATTATATGCTATAATTATGCATGCATAGAACCTGGATGTAGTGTAGATGGACATTGTATGAGCTTTTGAAGGAAATCAGACTTATATATTAACTGATAAAAAAAAGAATAACAAGGTATTAATACTGGTTTTAAATATATGTGAAATTCTAATGGTATGTTAATAAAAACTCCTAAATGAAAGTACAGTACAAAAAGAGCAGAGTAAGGCAATAATAGCATACCAAATATGAAATAGCAAATGTTGTACGTTATATACAATAACACCTTACCAAACTAAATGAGAAATATACAAATATCATATTAATACCGTCAACGTTAAACTGAAAACCATTGGTATAATGGTGTTGAATTGAGCTTAAAAAGGTTACATAACCCAATTTTATTGCTAATGTGAAGTATGTTAACATTACTGTACCATGCTTTTGTACGTGGTTCTTGATTTTTTTTATGACGTTAGTGTTACAGGGGAGTTTACATTAACCTAGTGCTTTCTAAAGTGAGGTCAATGATACAAATGATGGTAGGAATTATAAATGAATAAAGTAATGTACTTTGGTAAATATTAGTCATCTTATGGTTGGTATTGTGCTGGAGGGATGACTGAAGTAACCTAGTGTTAAAGTTTATTATTTTGGCTTGTTTTATGATAGAATGGATAATTAAATATAGTGGTATTTTAAGAAAGTGATTCAGTGGTTAGTATTGTAATAGACAGTGGTTATGACAACACATATTCAGAGTTTATGGATGTTACATAATGATATTGGCTGCTTTTACATTAACCTAGTGCTTTCTAAAGTGAGGTCAATGATACAAATGGTGGTAGGAATTATAAATGAATAAAGTAATGTACTTTGGTAAATATTAGTCATCTTATGGTTGGTATTGTGATGGAGGGATGACTGAAGTAACCTAGTGTTAAAGTTTATTAATTTGGCTTGTTTTATGATAGAATGGATAATTAAATATAGTGGTATTTTAAGAAAGTGATTCAGTGGTTAGTATTGTAATAGTCAGTGGTTATGACAACACATATTCAGAGTTTATGGATGTTACATAATGATATTGGCTGCTTTTATGAAAGGACACTTAAAGAGTGCTATTTCAACTAAGTGATTAAATTATGTTCTGATGGTAAAGAGTGAATGATAACATTTAGCTATATGAATGACATTAGCAAAATAATTTGACATTATGTCATTGAAAATTTCTCTTATTTTTGCCTGTTTTCTACCTTTTCTTCCTGCTTGTATTCTTTTTTATCTTTTTTTGGTTCATATTTTACATCAGCTTTCTTCTCTTTGTGGTTGTCTGTATTTTCTTGACTTGTGTCTTTCTTTCCAATTGTTTGCTCAAGATTTTTTTTCACTTTCTGCTCTACAATTTTGTCCTCATCCTTATCCATCTTAGCATCAAATTTATCACCTTTTCTCTTTTCATGTTTCAAGTCTTCAGATTTCTTTACTTTGCTTACATCAAGCTTCTCCTCCCTTTTCTTTTCTGATGTTTTCTCATGTTGGTTAGCTTCAACTTTCTTTTTATCTTTTGCTTCAATTGATGGAGGAGGTACCCCCTTCCCAGGCTTTTCAGCAACTTGTTGAACATCCTAAAGATAAATGATGCAAATCTAAGAGCAAGCACTTGCAGTCATAATGCAAAATAACAAAACATCTGCTGTTTATATTAATTATGCTTAACGTTGGGTGTAATGTGTAGTGCTAACTTAGTGTTAACTTGCAGCAAAATAGTACAAAACGCTCCACTGGCCAAAAACATAAGATGAGCAATATCCTAGATGTGATAATGCAGGATCATTCCCAGGGAAATGCAGCCTCCTGCATTAATTTACAACCTTAATCTCAAGCATCTGTTATGAGATGTTAGGTTTAGAAATTAGAAGGCAAAGTTTATTGTCAAGGCATGGTGGTCTAGGTCAGAAACTTGGCTTAACTGTAAGAAGATCTATGAGTCATGTTTATAGTTGTTTTTATGATTTTGTTCCAGTACTTTAACAAGAAACATGATTCATCAGCAATCAAAATCAATTTAAATAACTGTTTGCATGCTCATAGTTCCAAACACAGATAACTATACAAAAAACAAAAGAAAACTAAAACTAACATAAATAAATATAAAAATCAAGAATATTAAAAGAAAATTGACAATTACAAACCACCAGGCCCTATGCCCAATTACAAACCACAGACCCAGGCCTAAGCCCAAACCAAATGCAATGCTGAGAACATTCAAATTTACATGCATTTTTGCAACATTAATAATTGGTTAGTTTTCTTACCATTGACACAGAATCGTGTGCTCTACCAACATCAGTATTCTTGCCATTGCTACTCTCTCTACTGGAAACATCTAATACAAAAATGACGACAATGGGAACTCTCAGAACGGGCAAGAAACTAGGGCAGCTAAGGATGCTCGCGAGTGACAAGAGAAAATGGCCTCAAATGAAGAAGGACTGATTGCAGCTGTAGGAAGTTCCTACTACTATAGAAGCAGTATCCAGTAAAATAATAATATATGTTCATATGTACATACATACACATACATACTTATATCGATTAAAAAACTCTCCAATCACATATTATTTGTGTACTACTTTTTGGATAAAAAACAAGCTAGCTTTTCCTGTTAGCTCTAATCACTTTGCTTTATATATATATTTTTTAATTAGTCCAATTCGATTAATCAAAGTACCTCCTACAATACACAGAATATTTAAACAGGCAAAAATATAATTACTCTGTTGTTGCTTCACACAACCTTATCCATTGATGTTCATGTAATAAAGTAAATATGTAATAAAGTAAATATGTAATAAAGGACTGATTGCAGCTGTAGGAAGTTCCTACTACTATAGAAGCGGTTAATAACAATAATATATTCATTAACTTATATTACAAAAAGGATCATCAATTATAGTCAAGAACACTAGCTATTTGCCAAAATCTAATTTTTTCAACTAGTTAAATATGTTCAAATTTTTTTATTTATTGAACTTATTGTACAGTACTTCGCATATGATTTTTTTTATATTGCAATTTAATAATTTTTTCAATGTATATAGAATACAACTGGTAATAATTTAAATATTGTTTCTCTTTTTGTAAAACAATTGTACAGCAATTTAATGTTTTTATTAAATTATTACTTTTACTCCAATTTAATTTTTTCAATGTATTTTTAAATTAATAATAAAATAATTGCACAGTAATTTTATTATTTTTCAAATTATTGTATTTTTCTTACAGTCATGATAGCGCAATTTATTTATATTTTTTTTTCTGTGGTTTAATAATTTTCTAAAATACTTGGTAGTTAATTTTGATGTAAACATATTTCACAATTCAGCATTTTGGCTCCCGTGTCTTATGTTTTAATAATTTTGTTCTGAATAAATACAAATACATATCTTATTAAAACACACCGCACAATCAGATCCTACAGATTTGTAGACCTCAGTAGGTCTATTACAGTATCTTTTAAACAACATCAGTTCTCTTGACAGTTACAGTAGTAAGTACATAAGAAATGGAATTGGAACACATGTCTGTTGTAGCTGACTGACCATGCATGGAGCTGACATACAGTAGGCCAGTATTGGATTACTGAATGGATGTTATTGTGTTTAAACCCAGTCCATGCATACAATAACATTCAATCAGAAACAGAAATTGGTTTAAGACTGGTGTAATATAGCCCCTGCCAATTAAAAAACAATAATTATTCTAGCAAATGTTGTACGTTATATACAATAACACCTTACCAAACTAAATGAGAAATATACAAATATCATATTAATACCGTCAACGTTAAACTGAAAACCATTGGTATAATGGTGTTGAATTGAGCTTACAAATGTTACATAACCCAATTTTATTGCTAATGTGAAGTATGTTAACATTACTGTACCATGCTTTTGTACATGGTTCTTGATTTTTTTTATGATGTTAGTGTTACAGGGGAGTTTACATTAACCTAGTGCTTTCTAAATTGAGGTCAATGATACAAATGGTGGTAGGAATTATAAATGAATAGAGTAATGTACTTTGGGAAATATTAGTCATCTTATGGTTGGTATTGTGATGGCGGGATGACTGAAGTAACCTATTGTTAAAGTTTATTATTTTGGCTTGTTTTATGATAGAATGGATAATTAAATATAGTGGTATTTTAAGAAAGTGATTCAGTGGTTAGTATTGTAATAGTCAGTGGTTATGACAACACATATTCAGAGTTTATGGATGTTACATAATGATATTGGCTGCTTTTATGAAAGGACACTTAAAGAGTGCTATTTCAACTAAGTGATTAAATTATGTTCTGATGGTAAAGAGTGAATGATAACATTTAGCTATATGAATGACATTAGCAAAATAAGTTGACATTATGTCATTGAAAATTTCTCTTATTTTTGCCTGTTTTCTACCTTTTCTTCCTGCTTGTATTCTTTTTTATCTTTTTTTGGTTCATATTTTACATCAGCTTTCTTCTCTTTGTGGTTGTCTGTATTTTCTTGACTTGTGTCTTTCTTTCCAATTGTTTGCTCAAGATTTTTTTTCACTTTCTGCTCTACAATTTTGTCCTCATCCTTATCCATCTTAGCATCAAATTTATCACCTTTTCTCTTTTCATGTTTCAAGTCTTCAGATTTCTTTACTTTGCTTACATCAAGCTTCTCCTCCCTTTTCTTTTCTGACGTTTTCTCATGTTGGTTAGCTTCAACTTTCTTTTTATCTTTTGCTTCAATTGATGGAGGAGGTACCCCCTTCCCAGGCTTTTCAGCAACTTGTTGAACATCCTAAAGATAAATGATGCAAATCTAAGAGCAAGCACTTGCAGTCATAATGCAAAATAACAAAATATCTGCTGTTTATATTACTTATGCTTAACGTTGGGTGTAATGTGTAGTGCTGTATGATTAATATTAGTGTTAACTTGCAGCAAAATAGTACAAAACGCTCCACTGGCCAAAAATATAAGATGAGCAATATCCTAGATGTGATAATGCAGGATCATTCCCAGGGAAATGCAGCCTCCTGCATTAATTTACAACCTTAATCTGAAGCATCTGTTATGAGATGTTAGGTTTAGAAATTAGAAGGCAAAGTATATTGTCAAGGCATGGTGGTCTAGGTCAGAATCTTGGCTTAACTGTAAGAAGATCTATGAGTCATGTTTATAGTTGTTTTTATGATTTTGTTCCAGTACTTTAACAAGAAACATGATTCATCAGCAATCAAAATCAATTTAAATAACTGTTTGCATGCTCATAGTTCCAAACACAGATAACTATACGAAAAACAAAAGAAAACTAAAACTAACACAAATAAATATAATAATCAAGAATATTAAAAGAAAATTGACAATTACAAACCACCAGGCCCTATGCCCAATTACAAACCACAGACCCAGGCCTAAGCCCAAACCAAATGCAATGCTGAGAACATTCAAATTTACATGCATTTTTGCAACATTAATAATTGGTTAGTTTTCTTACCATTGACACAGAATCGTGTGCTCTACCAACATCAGTATTCTTGCCATTGCTACTCTCTCTACTGGAAACATCTAATACAAAAATGACGACAATGGGAACTCTCAGAACAGGCAAGAAACTAGGGGAGCTAAGGATGCTCGCGAGTGACAAGAGAAAATGGCCTCAAATGAAGAAGGACTGATTGCAGCTGTAGGAAGTTCCTACTATAGAAGCATTATCCAGTAAAATAATAATATATGTTCATATGTACATACATATACATACACATACATACTTATATCGATTAAAAAACTCTCCAATCACATATTATTTGTGTACTACTTTTTGAATAAAAAACAAGCTAGCTTTTCCTGTTAGCTCTAATCACTTTGCTTTATATATATATTTTTTAATTAGTCCAATTCGATTAATCAAAGTACCTCCTACAATACACAGAATATTTAAACAGGCAAAAATATAATTACTCTGTTGTTGCTTCACACAACCTTATCCATTGATGTTCATGTAATAATTTTAACCATCAAATTTGGTTTCATTAATTTTGCAAATATTTGATTATAACATAAAGAAAATTTACAGAGCAGAGAAGCTTTACCATTGGTTGGTATGGGGGTGATATCTTGTAGCACAGGCAATGGTTTTGAAACTGGTGGTGGGGTTGGTGCTTGAGGAGTTGTTGATACCACATCAATTTCCATTGTATCTATATCCTGTAATGTAACATGGCTTTAAAATAGTGTTTATAATACAGAAATATTACAAAACACTTTTTTTGAATGTTGTACAAAAACTTTAATTGATTGGAAAGTGAAAGAAATAATATAAAGGAAGAAGTAATGGGATAGTGAAGGGGACAGAAAAAAGTGAACAAATAAATGGACAATTAAAGAGGGCATGAAACTGGAACAAATGAATGGACAAATAAAAGGCACAGGAAAAGGGGCAAATGAATGCAGAAAAGAAGGGTACAGAAAAAGGGACCAAATGAATGGGCAAGTCAATTTAGGCTTGCAACTGGAGGTCCCTTTCGTTACTTTAATAAAATCAAACAATTCCCACACCCCTGCCTAACTTACATTGCTTAACGTAGACTCAGTTTCTTGTGAATTTTTCAGCTTAGGTGATGGTTTCTTTACTCCTCCACGGACTACATTTTTTCCTTTGATAAAAGTGAAACTTACAATTCAAGAGGTCCCTTATTCCTAGTGATGTCGATGCGTATTGCATCTGTCAGGCAATTCGCATTCAGTGAAACACTGATTGCCCATGTTGATGCGCATTGCATCTATGTGTATAGATTTATCTTTACTTCAATTTGTAATGTTTTTATGTTCATGACACATATATTTTTGCAAGTAAGCCAAAATTACTATTTGTTTAAAAAAATGAAAATATTTATATAATGAAATTTAATGTAGTGTAATAAACGAATTTGAATCTGATCATATAAATTATCACTTTATTTAAGCAAGACATGAATGAATACATATAAAACATCGTTAGATGTTCATTAAAACAATCATAATGACGACTCACACCTAAAATTACAATAACGTGTAGAAAATACATTTTTTTAAATTATGTATTTGTTGAAATGCATGCTAAACCTACCTGAGGATGATAGTCTTGCATTGTCGACAGCCAACTTCTCTGCCCCTGCTTCCTCCGAAGCTTCTCTGTCCTTCCTGCATTTAAAAGAAAAGTTTGTCAAACTTTCACCAAATCAGCAAACTTATTTAATCAAGTCAATTACAGATAGAAGAAAACTGAATTTTTCTTACGTCTGTAGCTCCTCCCACATGGTCCGCACTTCCTTATCTAGCTGTCCTGCCTTTAATTGGTCAATTTCTCGTCGAAGGGTCTTGTATCGCAACTGGTCAGATTTAATTTGTTTCTTCAATTCATCAATTCGTTCATGTGTTAACTTTCTAACGATCAATACCTCCAATGAATCACCTTCGGCCTTATCTGTACTCCTTTTCCGTCTTAAAAAAATCAATTTAAGACAAACTTTCACTAAAGGAATTTATGTGGAATAATAATTTAACAGGAAAATAAATATGGATGGTGGCTCAACAAATATAATATCTTTTGGAATGATTTTGTGGGACTGGGCACTATTGCAAGCATGTATATTGGTTTTTTTAGAATGTTCTATTATTAATAATTATAATAATAATAACAATAATAATTATTAATAATAATAATAATAATAATAATAATAATAATAATAATAATAATAATAATAATAATAATAATAATAATAAAATCTTCTTTTACAACGGAAGCTCGTTCACCAAGGTAGTGTTCCTCCACAAGGCCGTATCTTTTACATATCATGAAAACTTAACTATAAAATGAACAACTAAACAAGAACTTTAAATGAATGAACCTCATTAATGAACCTTTACCTTACCAGCAACTTATACTAAAGCAGTCAGTTGATGGCCTTGTGTTTTTTGTTAATGTAAACAGGACTGTTTTTGTGTACATTTGTTTAATCACTACACTACACATTTGGTAACATGATAAGGCATCTTTGCATTTTTATTAAATTGTTTGAACAAACTAACAAACCAACCAACCACTTAATTTGGTCAATGAAAACAGAAAAAAAAACAACTAAGATAACTAAGAAAGATGTGGACAGACGGAAGTAGCTGGTCTGGTTTCTTCGGGTATCTTAGACATGAAGAAACTCTTAGGGGTGCAAAAGTTACTGAACAAGATATGTCCATGCATCAAGCGCCATGTAAAACAGTGCATCAAAATAAGCGTGTATTGGTTGTCAAGCAATTTTGTATTCTTTAAAAAATCTGTAACAACAACAGTGCGTACTTTAACTTGCTTTTTTGTTTCCACGAACTAACGCAATCTACTTTGGCTGAGTTGTGATGTGAATGACTGTATGTTTTGTTTTGTTTTTTTTTTATTTCCATATTTCAAACAAACAGAAAGTCAAACAACAGTCGGAAAAATACACCGACACACAAATAGAACAAATACTCAAAATTTAAAAAAAATATACAGCACCTAAAACCCACGATGCCTTTCTTTAAGTAAAATTAACAATTTTCTTGAATTTCTCTATTATAAATCTAAGGTGTTTGTATTGAGGTAGACTATTGTGTATTTTTCAGACATAAATGTAATATTTTGTTGTTAAAAATATAATAGACTTTGTAATACTTGGTAAATTTTTTTCACCAAAACTAATAGTTTCATTGTAAAAAATGAGTAAATTTCCTGTTACTTCTAACAAAAAATCTTTCACAAAAACCCATTTTTAGTTAGGTATTTCAGCAGACAGCCAATGAAAATCAGGATGATAATGAATCATTCAAGAATAGAATGACATATTCAAACAAGTGAAATACTATAAATCTACAGTATATTTTGCTCAACTTCCACATACGAAGTAATATCGGATTAATTCGATAATTTTATCCAGGACATTCGAGTACCCACAGTTAGTAAGGATTTTGCAGAACAATGTGAAGGGAGATTCACAATTAAGGAATGTAAAAAAGCCCTAGACGACATGGCCCTAAATAAGAGCTCTGGAATTGATGGCCTATTCGTTGAATTTTACAAAGTTTTTTGGGATGAATTAAAGCAACTTACTTGTAAACAGTCTCAATGAGGCAAATGACTATGGTGAGCTATCACAAACACAATAAAGTTGCGTCGTTGTCCAAATTTTTAAGGGTAAAGGGGACAGTAGAGATTGTAAAAACTGGCGCCCTTTGACTCTACTCAACATAGACTATAAAATCGCAGCCAAAACACTGGCCAATAGACTTCCATACAGTATTAGTGAAATAATTAGCACAGATCAAAAACATTTTACATAATAATAACAATAACAATCATTATTATTAGTACTATTATTATAATTAAATGATACAAGTAATGATAGAAATCATCTAATTAAAATTCAATATGACTCACTTTGGAAGATCTGAATTTTCCATCATATCTGTGTACTGCAAAGCACAATTCTGAAAAAAAAAGGAACATAATCTATCTTGATCAATATTTGTATGAATTCATGTTCAAGGACTCCCTAAACAGCTGATGTTTATAATAAATTCATGTTCAATGGCTATCTAAAATGCTGGTGTATCACTACTAAAT